AGCCCACCATTTGGTCGTCGGTGTCAATACCGGCCACGTATTGGTATATAAATCTGCCGATAGTTCCCAGACTGTAGTGATTGAATGAGTTCATCCCGGGGTCCATAAACCCCTTGTCCTCAGTCCATGAGTCCCAGTGCTCCCACATTCCGGTGGCGTTATGTGCTATTTCATACCCCCACGAAGGGAATGACTCCTGTAATAAGCATTTATACGCCACATCCCTGTGCCCATATTTGACGAGCACTTCATTGACAAAATTGACACCTTGGGAATAAACATTAATAAATAAAGTCATATTGTAAGTTATATTATATCAAAAAAGTGTTTAAAATTACTAATATATCCAGTGGTGTAGTGGTAGTCGTGAGCCTTAATATTGTCGACCAAATGGTTGACCGCAAGTGGTCTCAGGTTTTGTGGCAGTAATTCAAAAGTGAGGGCCAATACATACACGGCTTGAGTGTCGCCTTTGATTTTGCCGTCAGTTGTGTTGACAAATGCTTTTGTGAAGGCATTCGAGATATTTGTATGCAATTCAGTGTAAAACTTCACGTCATCCGTACGGTTGAGAGCACCGGCCATTTGGGTCATAAGGAGGGCGTCGTAACCAAAGTATGAGGTGTCGAACACATCTTTGGGTGTTTGGGCGTTGATTTGCAACCAATCGCCCCAATCGCTGAAAACACTTTTGGTCCACAAGTAGTTAGGATTAGCTTTTTGTATAAATTCAATCCATGTCTTCATGGACTCGTAACTGACTTCAAGTATCTGTTTGTCTCCAAACATATGCCATATATAATAGGGGACTATAATGCCCGCATCACCCCATGCCGGCGCCCCATCATCTGGTGATACCAGTCTGGGCGCCACGTTTGAGAAGTGGCCGCCATTACGACGGGCTTCCCTCAGATCTCGGAGCCATTTGCTATAAATACCGGAAACATCGGCGTTATAACTGGCCGTCTGAACGAAGATCCCGGAGTCACCCGTCCATCCCAGGCGCTCATCTCTTTGGGGACAGTCGTGAGGTATGGACCATATGTTTCCCGTTTGACTCCACAACACGTTTAGCCACAAACGGTTCAGTAGTTTGTTGTCGGACTCAAACTTTCCTGTCATAGGAGTGTCCGTATGGGCGACACGACCCACAAAGTCAGTCAACTGGGGTTCACCGGGAA